CCTCGCTTCAGATAGTCACATGGTTCCCTCTTGTGTTGTCTTAAGGTCTCTGGTGAACTGTCATTTCATAAGAACACTGCTTTCTAACTTTTCTAGGACAGCACTCTCCACTCTCACTACCACACTCTACCTGTTCCTTCCTCTGTTTAATTTGTCTCTGAAACATCGATCACCACTTGGCTTGTTCTACATTTTCTCTGGATTGTCTGTGCCCACTGGAATGAAAGCTCAAAGGGAGCAGGGTTTTTTAAATCTGTTTTATTTACTCTTCTAGACCATTGCCTGTAACATAGTAGACATCCTATAACTATTTGTAATGAGTGAATGTTTACAATCAATCTTTTGTCAAAAAATATATAGGGCTATTTAGTCATATGCTTTATTGAGGTGGTATACTGGAACTTTTTTTAAAAAATGAATTATCTTTCATCTCTTATTAAAAAGTACAGCAGGAGCTAAACTATGGTAAGCATAGATTACTTAGTAGTTATATGAAGAAAAACTAAATAAGAGACAAATCCACATTTTGCTTTCTCCATTTTATTCAAGAAGTTAACAACAAAAACAAACACCTTCTAACATAGTCCCTCAATCACTTGTAAAATATCAGCTAAGCCCAATTCAATTCTAAAATATATGCATGCAATTCTATAAAGAAGAGATGACAGGGAGGAGGATAGTCAACAACATAAAATGTGTGCTCGTGTGATTTCTTTATTTTTGAAAGCCAAATTATTGCAACCATCGCTTGAGGAACCTTTCATGTAGGCATTAAAGCAAAAAGGCAACAAGAATGCAAAATATCCACACACAACTAGCTATATTGTCAGGGAAATGGACATAATTCTGAGAGGGATAAAACTATTCTTTGACCATGAGAGATATTAAACATTCACATATCCTAAAGTGAAAATATGGAATAAAATAATGAAGTCATTTTTTTTTTTTGCTTTTTCAATGAGATGTTGGGAATTAACAATAGAGTCAGGAAACTCCTGGGAATCAAGGACCAAAATCAGAGATAGTGTCATGACCATCCACCCTCAGTAGAAATAGAGGAGAGTCTGCACTGACGTGCCCCGGTGAATAGATTCTTGGCCAATACCAGTCACTTAGTTACAGTCAAGTGCTACGTTTCCATTTTGAAGGTGGAGAAAGAGCGTGGCACAGCCCTGGACTACTTGCCGGCGTTCCCTACCAGGCAAGATAAAAACAGGTTCCTCCCGCGAGCAAAGGACATATCTGGAAGTTATGCAGAAAATCATTTGGGGATGTAAATTAAGACTATTGTTCCTTGATTGAAAAGCTCACCTTATAAAGTATGTGTCTTGTATCCTTAGCTCTGATATAAGTATACTAAAATAGATGATGGTTCATTTTAACTCTCGAGAATAAACATTCAGTCTGTTGAAGAGATAATCTTCATAAAATAAACATCTTCTATAATTTCTCTCTAACATGTCCCTAGAAATGCCCCTAAAGATCCATGCTGTAGGTGCCACAGCTGTAGTTTCAAAGATTGCCTCACAGTCACCAGCAGATTAGCTGTCCCTTTGTGAATTCAGTGTTCAGAAACAAAACCCTAAGCTTGCTGTTGGTGACTTAGCTCTGACTACAATGGCCCACAGGGTTTCCAAGCTGTCCGCCTTCACAGAAACAGGCTGCCACACCTTTCTCCCTCGGGCCTCTCAGGCTTTACCATGCATCGAAAGCACCTGGCAGACATTGAAATATCGTATACTGGACCTACCTCCATCATGTCTCGTCTAGTCGAGCTGCAGCTGTTGGCGGGGCTGTCAGAGAATGTGCATTTCTAACTTGTACCAGGTAATGTTAATGCTGCCTCCCTGATGACCATACTTTGAGAGCCACTGCCTTAAACTCTTAGTTTCTATGTGCTTTAAAGAGAAAGGAAAGATTAGACCCCCAATCCACAATATTCTTTCTAAACCAAGTCTCTGTAAGGCCATGCGCTGGGGAAAATGCTTGAGAAAATCATTGTTTTAAAGTTCCTCCTTTACAGGAACAGTGATGCCTGTGCAGCTAAAGAATCCTGAACGTTATTCTCTGAGCAGTGTGTTTCGGCTGGACTTGAGCTGAGGGCGATTTCCTATTCCTCATCAGACAGGCCAGCATCTCCTATGTTTCTCTAGATTGCCGTCACCCTCCTCAGGACAGGATCTGTGCCTGGGGGCACCAAAAGCCACAGCTACATATCTCTCCCCAGGAGGTCTATTTCATCCAGAAGGAAGTCCATGTCCTCCCGGCTCACTTGGGGACTAATCACCACCTGGCGAAAGAAGTTGACTTTCCCACGGTGGGGCTGGTAGCCAAGCATCAAGCTTCCTTTCTTCATCATCCTCTCCTTGATGGCTGGGGCAACCTGCATGGGTCAGAGGAAAGGAGTACGTGAAAGACCAGAACATCGACTCGTTACAACCTCGTTTTAACCAGTCATTTGATAGTCCCTAGGTGATGTTGTGATGACCTGTTTGGTTGCTAACCATAAGGTTAGTGGTTCAAAACCACCAACCAGTTTCTTGGGAGAAAGATGAGGCTAAAAAGTTACAGTCTTAGAAATCCACAGGGGCAGTTCTACCCTGCTTACGGGTGGCTGTGAGTCAGATTGACTCAATGGCAGTGAGTTTGGTTTTGTTTTTGGGAGGTGCCCACAGGTGTGGATTCTATTCTCATGTACATGAGTTCCACATAGTCACATGTGGTCGTTGCATATCTGTTGTCAACTTGAAACTTAAATGTTTCCTCCCCGCTCCCACTATCATGGTATGAATTCTCCCTTGCAAGTCTGGCTAGACCAGAGGATGTACACTGGTACAGATAGGAACTGGAAACACAGGGAATCCAGGGCGGATGATCCCTACAGGACCAGTGGTGTGAGTGGCGATACAGGGAGGGTAGAGGGAGAGTGGGTTGGAAAGAGGGAACTGATTACAAGGAATTATATGTGACCTCCTCCCTGGGGGACAGACAGCAGAAAAGTGGGTGAAGGGAGATGTCAGACAGGGCAAGATATGACAAAATAATAATTTATAAACTATCAAGGGCTCATGAGGGAGGGGGGAGGGGGGAGGGAGGGGAGAAATGAGGACCTAATGCAGGGGGCTTAAGTGGAGAAGAAATGTTTTGAGACTGATGAGGGCAATGAATGTACAAATGCGTTTTACACGATTGATGTATGTGTGGATTGTGATAAGAGTTGTATCAACCCCTAATAAAATGATTTTAAAAAAGTGAAGGTGTGGCGTTTAGTCTGTCAATCAGGTTGCAGCTTGATGACCACATTTGAAGGCACTAAGGAGATAAATAGCTCACTGGTGGTGGGGCACACAGTCACTCCCAGCAAGATATTACTGATGATGAACCTGATGGAGCTATGCTAATGCAGCCAGAACCCTGGGAGCTGGAGGAGCCATGTGGAGACCCTGCCAACACTGAGATGCTTCCACCACCACTGGATCCACAACACTTTCCACACACTGGCCTGTGATCTTCCTGCACTCAGGATTACTGCATGGCTGCATGAGTCTAAAGAAGAATTTATGGACTAGTATTGGACATATGGGCTGGTATTGAACTTATGGGCTTGATCTGGACTGGGCTGGGATGTTTTCTTAATGTAAAATTACTCTTTATATAAAGTTATTTCCTATACACATATGTGTGTCTACGAATTTGTTTCTCTAGTCTTCACAGAGTAACACATCCTAGATGGATTTATTTATTTGACATTGATTGCAGACCAAGTAAAACCTTGATGCATTTGTTAAATGTACTTGTATCTTGTAGATGAATCATTTAATAGTTTATAATGGGAATTCATATTTTTCAATGAATTATTACACTTCAAAAAATCTGACTAAAGTAAAAATCCTATGATAAAATGAAAGTTTGATAGCATCCTCATATGTAAAATATGAAAATCACACCTTTTATTAAGAAGTGTAACTCTGACTCATGAAGGCCTCATATATTTCAGAGGAGAATTGAGTTCTAGGAATTTCAAGTCTGTGGACTTAAAGAAAAAGAAAATTGCCCTAAACTTTTTATTGTAAATCAGGTAAGGGCTTACATAGCAGATTACAGATTTGCATTCAGCAATTTAAACAATGTATCAAACCTCCTGATAGCTTGCCTTGTTCCACCTCTCCTTCCTGCCCTCCCCTCCCATCTCCCTCTTATAGTACATTATCAGTCCCTTCATCCAACTTAACACTTGTCTGCCCCCTGGCATATTTCTTTCCTTCCCTTCCCCACGTCCACCGTCAGAACCATCAAAATTGGCTTCTTTCTATATGTGTGGTAGTTACATAATTTGAGAGTGTCAATTTGAGAGGACTACGAGTGCAGGGGTTAGAGTCGCCTGTCAAATCAGATCATAGCCAATGAGGCCTCTGTGTGGGCATGGCTGTCTCGAGAATTCTGGGTTTTCCTCCTTGGAGACAGAAGACACACTTCTCTCTCTCTCTGTGAGAGACATCCCTTTGGAGAAGACACTTGGAGCAAGGCTGATGGAGCCAGACCTCTGGAGCTGGAGCAGCCACCGGGAAAGTCGTGCCAGCACTGAGATGCTTACAATGCCACTGGATCCAAAGACTTTCTATCCACTGGCCTGTGATTGCCCTGCATTCAGCATCATTGCATGTGTTTCATGAGTCTGAAGAGGACTTTATAGATTGGTATTGGACATATGGGTTAATATTGAACTTATGGGCTTAGACTGGACTGGGATGGGATGCTTTCTTAAAGTACAGTTACTCTTTAATATAAAACTCTCTCTTATACACAAATCAGTGTTCATGAATTTGTTTCTCTGGTCTATCCAGACTAACACAATATGAAAACATTTGTTGTTTTTTTTATACCAGTGGTCTCAAACAACATTTGTCATTTTGGGTTTGACTTACTTCATTCATCAATGCCTTCCAAATCGATCCATGTCATGAAGTGTTTCATAATTTCATCATTTTCTTTATTTTTAATGAGGCTTGGTTTGCTCATTCTTGAATGTACCAAACTTTGTTGATCCATTCTGCCACCAGGTGGACATTTAGGCTGTTTCCAGCTTCTTGCTGTTGTGAGTAACGCTGCCATGAACATTGGAGTGGGTATAACTGCTCATACTATGTTCTTTATGCCTGTCGGGTTTATACCAAGCAGTGCTGTTGCTGGGTCGTGTGATATTTCTGTTCCCGATTGTTCAAGGAAATTCCGTATGCCTTTCCACCAGGGATATGCTGTTTTACGGTCCCACCAGCAGTGTGTAAGATTCTAATTTCGCTGAACTCCGCTAGCATTTGTTGTTTTCTGCTTTGTTGAGCTTTGCTCTCAGTTCTGGGGTGGGGTGGTACCTCCTCCTTCTTCTTCCTTGCATCTGCCAGATGGCTCGGGGTTTTGAGCATAGGTGTTTGTTGGCCTCTTCAATGGCTTTGGCAAACTCTGCCTCTGTTCTCTTCTCATTTTTAAATTGAATTGTGTATCTTTTTGCTGTTGAGATTTTGCAGTGTTTCATAGATTTTAGAAATTACTCCCTTGTCTGTTATGTCATTTGCCAGTTTTCGCCACAGCCTGTCGTTTCATTTTTTACTCTTTTGGTGAGATCTTTTGAGGCACCTGTTTCTTACTTTCAGGAGGTCTCATGATCTATGTTTGTCTTCTGCTGTATGTATATTTTACATTAGGTTTGATAGGGTATTTATGCCTGCATTAGGGCACCAAAGCTTAGCCTTGATTTTTTCCCCACTGATGATCTTTACAGTTTATATGTACATCTTCAATCTGTCTTGAGTTCATTTTGTCTATGGGGTGAGGCCTAAGTTCTCTCTTTTTTTTATTAAAAGATCATTTTATTGGGGCTCTTACAGCTCTTTTTTTTTTTCTTACAGCTCTTAGAACAATCCATGCATCAATTGAGCAAGCATATTTGGACATATGTTGCCATCATTATTTTCTAAACATTTTCTTTCTTCTTTAAAAATCATTCTATTGGGGGCTCATACAACTCTTGTCGCAATCCATACAAACATCAATTCTGTCAAGCACATTTGTACATTTATTGCCATCATCATTCTCAAAACATTTGCTTTCTACTTGAGCCCTTGATATCTGTGCCTCATTTTCCCCCTCCCTCCCTGCCCCTGTCATGAACCCTTGATATTTTA